GTAACTTTCAACGAAACGGTAACAACCAGATTTAAAAATAATACAAATAAAATAACTAATTTCGAGAAGAACAGAGGAAAATAAATAAAAGAAAAACACAAATATAAATTTAACAAACGGTAACTTTCGATTGTTCAAACCAAACGGTAACATTTTTTCAAAAAAGCTTGTCGGAAGACAAGTCAACCAAGATTTTAATAATAAAGAATAGAAATCTCTACATTCGAGAAGAACAGAGGCAATAATAAAAGAAAAACACAAATAATATTTTAAATTTAAATTTAACAAAACGGTAACTTTCCATTTATCCAACGAAACGGTAACATTTTTTCAAAAAAAAACTCCATCTCCTATATATATACGAACATTGGTTAGAGAACCATAATTTCTTAATTTTTCCCCTCACTCGTCAATCTCTCAATCTCTCTTCTACGTTTTTGTTCGAAGGTGTTAACGCTCTTGTTTCCCGAGAGATATCTCCTCTCTATGTCTACGTTTGTGCTGATGCAGCTCATCTATTCATTCATTGAATTCTCTCATTCTTTCTCATCAAAAAATTATAATTTCATTTTGTCTATTTATAGCTACATAAACTTGATAGGTTATAAATTTTATAATTTTCTTAGATTATTTCTAGTATTTGTATAGTAATAAGTTTAGATTTTGTTTCTTAAAGTATATTTCTGATTTGAAATCATTAAATAGATGAAACTTATTATAATAGTTGAGAAAACATATCATAAAATTTATAATTTCATTTAGTCTATTTATAGTAGCTATATACTTGATAACTTATAAATTTTATAATTTTCTTTTAGATTATTTCTAGTAGTTATATACTATAAGTTCAGATTTTGTTTCTTTGTATTGCTGATTTGAAATAATTAAATAGATGAACTTATTATAATTGTGAGAAAACATTATCATAAATATTAAATTTTCATTTAGTCTATTTTATATACTTGAGAAGTTACAAATTTTATAATTTTCTTTTAGATTATTTATAGTAGGTATATAATTAGATTTTGTTTCTTAAATTATATTGCTGGTTTGAAATAATTAAATAGATGAACTTATTATTATAGTGAGAAAACATAATCATAAACTTACAGTTTCATTTAGTCTATTTGTAGTAGCTACATACTTGATAACTTATAAATTTTGTTTAGATTATTTCTAGTTGTTTTATACTATAAGTTTAGGTTTATTTCTTAAAGGATATTGCTGATTTTAAATAATTAAATAGATGAACTTATCATAATAGTGAGATAATTATAAAACTTATAATTTCATTTAGTCTCTTTAAAGTTAGAAATTTTATAACTTTTCTTTAGATTGATTATATAGAAGTTGTAAGTTTAGAGAGAGTGAGAGAGGGGAGGGAGAGGGTGGAGAGAGAGAGGGGGGGAGAGGGTGGAGAGAGAGATGGGGGAAGGGGAGGTGAGAGAGGGTGGAGAGGGAGGATTGAGAGAGGAGGGAGGAGAGAGAGAGGGGGAGATGAGAGAGGGGAGGAGAGAGAGGTGGAGAGAAGGAGGGGCGCGAGGGAGGGGAGCTTGGCTGCTCGGGAGGGAGCGCCGCGGGAGTGGCTGCTCGGGAGCGCTGCTGCTCGGGAGCGCTGCTGCTCGGGAGCGCTGCTGCTCGGGAGCGCTGCTGCTCGGGAGCGCTGCTGCTCGGGAGCGCTGCTGCTCGGGAGCGCTGCTGCTCGGGAGCGCTGCTGCTCGGGAGCGCTGCTGCTCGGGAGCGCTGCTGCTCGGGAGCGCTGCTGCTCGGGAGCGCTGCTGCTC